TATATTTATGTATTTAATAATTATTGTGACATGTATAGCAAATTAATTTTATATTAATAAATTAATTGTAGACTTGCAGATTAATTGTGAATTTGCGAATATTGTGAATTTGCAGATATTGCGGAATTATTTTTTAAAATTCATAATAGTTGCAACCTAAAATCTGAACTTAATCCGCAACTTATAAGTTGTGAAGCCATCTTTAACATAAAGAAATTACCTAATCTAAAGAAGTCTTCTGATAATTGGTTAACTTAGATATTTTTAGCTTTTAAATTTGGTTTCTTTTGGTCAGATTTTGCAAATAAATACTAATAATCTCATTTGAATTTTTTGTTAAAAACTTTATTATTAGATATAGATCTTTTGGTTTTGTTTGAGTGATTTTCCAGTGATTGATCGATCTAAACAGGTTTAAAATAAAACTACAGAAGATAGTTATAGTTTAGTCTTTTTACTTTTACATTTATTTTTTATTTTTTATATATTTTTTATTTGTAATATTTTTTGAAATATATTAATAAACTTATAATAGTAAAACAAAAATATAAGTACACATTTTATGTGTATTTAACTGTATGACTATAAGGAGGTATAATTGTATTCATAAATAAATACATTATTGAATTGATTAAGAATCGCACATAAAAATTATTTAATTTACAATGATCAAATATCATTCAAATTATAAAATTGTTTAAAATTTAAAAGAACATTAGGAAGGATGATTGCAAATTTGTTCTTTCTTTTAAATAGTGAATGAATAGGAGTGAAAATTTTGTTACATTAAATTTTTGATAATGTAGTAAGCTGAATACGATATTTGATGAAAAATATAAAACTATATTAATAATATTAATGATTTGTTTGTTTGTAATCAGTTTATAGTATATAGAATTAATGAATTAATGAACATCCAATTTGACTTGATTTTTGACAAATGAAAAGGAACATTTACTATTGATCTAAATTTCAAGAAAATGAATAGAGCCTAATTCTAAAGCAATATTAATAGAAGAGAAATCAAACTTAAAAGTGATTTGTGAATATACTAATTTTTTAGTTATAAGTAATTTAAATTTTTCATATTAAGAGCTGATCAGGTGAGATTATAGAATTCTTCAATAACATTGAGAATGCATTTAAGATTTTGTTGACTACTAGTGATCTAATTGAAATCATCTATAAAGTCTAGTGAAGAAACTTAAGCGGATAATGATTTTATTGTTAAGGTAGTAAGATCAGAGGTCTAATTATATTCAATAGTATAATCTTTATTAAACTTATTAACTTCGCATAATAGGGGATCCAGATAAATGTATCATAACAAAAAGGAGATTATATCTTCTTGATCAATACTAATTTTAATATTATAATACTCAAAAATTTTATATGTGATAAAAATGGCATTTTTTTTAGTGGTAAAAAGATTAATCAGGAGATCAACTGCTTTAGATAATATTTTGATTTGATATAAGGCTCTTCAGAGATAAAATAAATACATCTGACCATAAGCTTTAGAGAGATCTTGTAATAAAATTCAGATTTCTTGGTCATTTTCATTGGCATTTTCTAATAACATATTGAGGATCTTGATTGGGATCAATCGAACTACCTGATAATCTAGCAAAATTACCTCCTTGAAAAATTGCATGTTTAGCAAGTATGATCAATTATTGATAATTTTGATAAAACTTTTGCAAGCTGTTTTTAAAAGTATAATAAGCTAAGTTTTAGTAATATTATAATTCCATTCTATAGGTTTAGGAATTAGAAAAATATATGCAATTTTACATTCGTTAAGAATATCACTAATAGCAAAATACATGTATATTAATTGCCAGAGAATAAATTAGACTTTGTTTTCTAAATTAATCATCATCTCATTTGTGATATCAGAAGGTTTAGCAACTTTATCCTTAAAAAGATATTTTAGCACAGCAAGCCATTTATCAAATATGAGTGATTGTAAAAGATTATTATAACAATCACTATTGACATAATCTTTTAGTAGGTATTGATCTATTGTTTATTCATTTGTAAGTAGGAATATTTGTAGAGTATAATTCTAAAAATGGTTGGCAATAACTTCTTTGATTTTATCTGGGTTAATAATAAATCATTTAATTTCAGTACTTTATTATTGATTAATAAATGATCTAGAATGATAGTGTTCTTTTTATGAATAAGAATGAAATTAATTATCTTAGAAGTATCATTTAGTAAATCATCACAACATTTGTCAATAAGATATTTGATCATTAATTCTTTAAGTTTTTAGATATCAATTTTAGTAAACACTAAAAGACTTTTATATATAAGTTTTTTCTATATAATATTTTGTTTATCAAGTGCTATTAGAAGTAAAAAGGTAACAATTTTATTTTATCAATGATCTTTAGTAAAGTAGAAGTAATGCAATTCTACGTTAAACTGATAGGTCACTTTTATTTGTGATAACTGTTTCTTATGATTCAAATTTGTGATATTATCTTTTTATTGATTGTAGAAATTGCTGTTTTAATATTTATCTAAAGGGTATTTATTAGGATTCCTCAAAATTAAATTGAATCAAATATTTAAGCAATTTTAATTTGATTTGATTTTTCAAATCAAATTGAATTGAATCGAATTGAACTCAAATATTTTATCAAATATTTGTCAAATAAAATCAAATAAAATCAAATAAAATCAAATATTTGATTGAATTAAATCAAATCAAATTGAATATAGAAATTTTTTTAATTTTTACAATGATATATTAAAATAAAGTTATTCTAAAGTTTTAATTAAGAAAATTATTAGTAATTGCACTAAAAATTTCAAAGATAACTTTTACAAAGTAAGTTTAGTAACAGGTGAATTTTTACTATTAAACTTAGTAAAATAACTTTGTAGTCTTAGTTTTACTAAGAAAACTTAATAATAACCACTATCGCAATTTCAGTTTACTAAGAAAACTTAGTAATAACTGCTGTTGTAGCTTCAGTTTTACTAAGAAAACTTAGTAATAACCGCTATCATAGCTTCAGTTTTACTAAAAAAAACTTAGTAATAACCGTCATCACGACTTCAGTTTTACTAAGAAAACTTAGTAATAACCACCATCATAGCTTTAGTTTTACTAAGAAAGCTTAGTAATAACTGCTATTGCAGCTTTAGTTTTACTAAGAAAACTTAGTAATAACCACTATCATGGCTTCAGTTTTACTAAGAAAACTTAATAATAACTGCTATCATAGCTTAATTTTTATTAAGAAACTTAGTAATAACCGTTATCTCAGCTTCATAACAATTTTATTAGTAAAAAATATTCTGAAGTTATAGACACGTTTTTTTTACTAGATTTCTTAGTAAAAATGTCTTCAAAGCTGTGGAGTTATTTTTTACCATATTTTCTTAGTAAAATACCATTTTTGAAGCTGTGAAGACATTTTTTACTATGTTTTTCTTAGTAAAAAAGCATTTCTGAAGTTGCAGATACACTTTTTACTATAGTTTTCTTAGTAAGAGCTACTCTTGAAGCTTTGAAGATAGCTTTAAATCAAATCAAATATTCAAATGTCAAATCGAATTATAAAACCCTAGTATTCATATTATATTTAGATAGTAAAAGATTTTTAAGTCAGTTAAAATTGTGACAATGATAATAAAAATTTGTATATTTTACAAATTTGGTCTATTTGATCTAATCCATGAAGCGTAAGTTAGGAACTTATTATTTGTTTTATAATATATGAGAGTTAGCTTATGAATGAAAATGAATATTAGCAAATAAGATAAAAATAATCATATGGTCTAATGAATATATATCATTTGAATTAATAAAAGAGAAAAGAAAATCTGAGATAAATTTGATAATACAAAAATAGTATCAATTTATAAACTAGTATTTCATATACTAAAGGTAGATTTAGGTGAATCATGATAAGGGCATAAAAGTCAAGAAATTGAATGCAAAATTATGATGATAAAATCAAATCTTCATTGCAGTGAGAAAAACCATTATTAAATTGATTTTAATAAGTGTTAAGATTGCTAGTGTTCTGAATAAATTGAGTTGATTTATGAGTTAAACGAGTCGAGTTGAGTTTGAATTGAATCAAGTCAAAATTTTTCTGACTCATTTAACTTGAGTCAAGTTATTAGTTGAGTCAAATTAATAAATTGACTTAACTTATTTTAATTTGAGTTAACTTAATTGATTTATAAGTTAATAAAAGTCATGTTATCACATGATTTGATATTACACAAATTACCATTTTTTGAAAATTTGTATAACTCTTTTTTGGTAATTTTCCAATTTTTCAACAGCCAAAAATTCCTTTTTAGGAATTTATGCAACTGTGTATTTATATTTGTTATTTGTATAACCTATTTTAGTGACAAAATGTAATTCTAGGAATAAAGATGAGAGACAAAACCCCCAAAAAGCTATTAATAAACAGCTGAAATTATATTAAAACATAGTGAGAAGTATGATGAAACCTGAAACCTAAAATTAACTGAAACTATATTAAAAACATAGTAAGGGATATGATATAACAAAATTATTTTGAGGGAGTTTCGGTGAGCATCTTTACTTGTGAATTTTCAGAATTTTTGAAAATATACCAGTTATACATGAAGTCAAAATGGATCATTTCTGATATCCGAAATAGTCGAAATGGTCAAAATTATTTTTTTTTTATGTTTTAACGATGCGGTACTGTTAGTACATTTTATTAATTCATACAAAAATACAATAATAGTAAAATCAAAAACTAACAAACAAATGACTAACTACCCCCTGTAACTATATTGCAAGTCCGTTTGAGTCAACTGAGTATCGCCACCCCCTCCAATAGACTCACTACACACATGCATAATGACTACTGTCTCTCACAGGGGATGGAAATAAACTATGGTCAATACTACTTCGTTATCTCCTTTCCAAAGTAAATTTCTGAAAAACAAAAACAAAAATGTAACCTTTCAACTAATAGTAACATATTTTCCAAAGAAGTAACTATGAAACTTGACCATCTACGCTAAAGAATTTACAAAAAGTAGCAACATAAGAGGATTCTACTAAGTTTCTAGCTAAGTTGTCCAGTCAATTTCGGATTACAACGACCACCCGGCACAGGTGCGTCTATATTACTTAGTTCCAATAGAGGCTCTTCGGACTATCACTTCTAATGCTAAGATGTCTGTCAATTCAGATTATAGCTGACACCCGACATAGGATAAAGCTTAAATAACAAGTCTAGAAAATATTGCGTAGGATTCCGCAGTTTTCGACGTTAGAGATCTGCAAAAAAAGAGTGTTACTGTTTATAAAGGAATAGGAATGTCATTACGCAGATTATGTATCCAAAGTATATTGATCGTGATTGTCAGTTAAGATACTCCTTGATACCCACTTTTGTAGGCAATTATTTTTAAAAATGAAAAAAACGAGAAAAAATATACCAAAGAGAGGTAAAGAAAAAATATTTTAACAAAAAACAACACGGTTTAGACTTCAACGGCAATTTTTATGTAGATAGGGGTTGGGAAAACAAAAAGAGAAAATTTTTTGAAAAGAGGGTTTTTTATTTTATTCGCAGGTTAAGCTGCGGTCGCCTTTGAACAGGCGTTTTTTTAAAATAAAAATTCTTGGATAAATTCAATGAGGGAAAGAGAAAGTTTTTCAGTTCTGATCGAAATCATTTCGACCATTGGAGGCTAAAGTCACGAAATAGTCAAAATGACGTCATATCATATGATTTTTTATATTTAGAAAAAACAAAAAACAAAAGATGTAAAATCTCAGTTAATATCACTCCGATTTGTATGAAATAACTATCATTTGATTCCTCAAAACTAGGCGGATACAATCATGAGATACTCACAATTGTATTATCAGCCAAAATTATAAATCAATAAATTCTACTTTAAATAAAGGAGTCTGGATTTCTAAATATGATCGCAAATATCTCGATATGGAATGATCCAAAATCAATGAATGTTAGCTCATTGGATTCGTCTAGTCGCGAGGAATCGAATGGTAGTTGATCCACCTTCAACTGACCCTTCTCTAAGAGCACTTATAAGTGTGCCAATAAGAAGTTGCAAATTGATTCCATTGTTACTATTCATTAAATGAGCAGATGCTTCTGCTATTACCGGATCAGATGGATAATATGTCATCACTGATTCACGAGTATCCGATATATAATAACATAGACTCATATAACTAGCAACAAGTTCTGATGCCAATTCAGTTTGAGGTACAACATCAATGCATAATCGTGGTCCAAGGATGGCAATTGATTCCAATACCGATAATTTCTCAATTTCCTTTTTTCTTAAGATCCAATCATCAAGGTCAAGACCCCCAATCAATTTACTTTTTGCTATTTCTAGTATCCCTTCGGGAGTTAATATACATTTATCTATAATTGAATCCTTAACCTTGAGCAATCCACCCCAAAGAGGTCGCCCATAACGAAAAAAGTATTGTGGAGATGCTATTTGGTTAAGTGTATTTGGCTCCGTATCTTCTGTCATAAAGGTATCCAATGTGGCAATTTGATAAAAGGGTGGGTATAAAGCCATCTTGGTCTTCTGAACACGATATGAATTGTCATGATGAGCAACTGGTGCAAAATTTGATATCTTGGATGCTGTGTCAGTAACGATACCGAATGCACGGCCACCTGATGCATAAGTAGGCAAAGCTGCTAGTGCATGTCGTAAACATTCGAAGTCTGTCTTATTGTAATTTGAATTTTTCTCAGTCAATACTTTAGCTTCATCAAGCACAAATAACAGCAGTACTTTTCTTTCGGATTTCTCATTTTCATCTAATTCCAATGATTTCTCTTTTAATTTCTGATCGTTATGTAATTTGGTGATTAGGGAGTTCCAATATTCCCCAATCATCATTTTGACAGAAACTCGACCTTCTTCATCAGATAGGTTCCTTTTTCGGATGGTTTCTTGAATGTAGATCATATCCTTTTCAATAGTATCCCAGACATCTTTCTGTTTATCTCCAGTATGTGCATCAAGCCACTCCTTTTTACTACCTTCAAACTTTGCTAGATATTTCATGACTGAACAAATGAAAGCAACATATGTAGAAAATCCTGTCTGTTCATCAGGGAAGGTGCAGAGCTTGTTTGCAATAGTTGAACGGGGGGTATACCAGATGATTCCTTCTGTCGAAGACTTATATAAACCATATGGACCTGCTCCCCTGCGGCCCACAACATTTTTGACTTTCCCACAGTTGATGCCTGCATTAAAGCTATTAGTGGTGAATGGTACTTTATCGCATCCCATTTTTGCAATGCATCGTTGACATGATTAAAGAACGAACTAAGAACTCCATGTCTGTCAATATACTCTTGTTGATAAAATGCGGCCTTAACAGCCACAGTACCATTTGTGTCGAATGTAAATTCTTTCACTAAGAGGAGTCAATGAAAAAAAAATTGGATTAGTAAATGTGCATAAATAGGGATTTGAATCAATACTATCAAAATCGAAAAAAAAACTAAAACTAAAAATAGTAAAAAGGAAAAACATTTGAAAAGAAAAGGATGCTAAATTCTAAACCAATAAAGAATAAATCATTAATTCTACTTATTATAATCGATTCCAATCCTTAGTCACAAATGGATCTATAACAACTCACATGAATTTCCAACAGCTGTAATATCTACATAAAACATAAATCAACAAATTGAATGTGAAAATAAGTCAATATCCTCATTTTTAAGATTTAACCATTATAAGATATACCTTACCTTCATGATAAATGTTAAGTAATGAATGTCAATGTAAATCATTTGCAAGTTTTCATAATAGGAATAAAAATAAAAAGGAAGTTTAGTGTTGCAAACAATATACCAAATATTCACTCAAATGAATAATAAATAATGAACGGAAAACAATTTTTTTTACGCAATTTGTTCACCTTTTTCTTCTCGTAGTCTCTTTTTACATTCTTCCAAAACCTCAACCTCCCATCTGTCTCTTTTTTCGTTCAATTCATTCCTATCTTTCCTCAACTCGATACATAGGTTTACCCAAATTTTCATTTGTTCTTCATTCTCCCACTCTCTTCTCGATATTTTATCCTCCAAGTCTTTCAAAACCTTCTCTTTTTCACCTAATTCTCTGTCTGCCTTTTCTATCATATTTTCGGCTTTTTTAAAAATTTCTTCTATCGTCATTTTCTTTTTTGTAAAAAAAAATCCTTTAATGATAGAAAAAAAAAAAGAACTTATTATATTAATAGCAAAAAGTATTTCAATTTTAGCCAATCAAATTTATGTAGTACTAAGGGATCTTGTCATCAGGACGATGATCTCCGGCGGCGAAAATTTTCAAAATCTGCCGGCGCTTATTTTAAAATCTGCTCTGCTTTCTGCGGCT